AATGCTATAAAAGGCTTTTTGCGGTTCAGTCCTCTCTCCAGCCTAATTCTGAGTTCATGTCATGTTCTAGCAACGCAAAACTATCTGTAACCCCGACATAGCACTTTGATTCAAGTTTTTTTTTTTTTTCATTTCCCATACTGTTTTCTGCACTTCGAAGGTGTAATATTTTCCTTTATAAGTTGTTGTTGTTGTTGTTGTTAATTACAGTGGAGTCGGTTCTGACTCATAGTGACCCTGCACAGGGTTTCCGAGGCTGTAAATCTTAAGGGAGCAGAACGCCTCATCTTTCTTCTACAGAACTGCTGGTAGTTTCGAACTGCCAACCTTGAGGTTAGCAGCCCGATTTGCAACCACTACGCTACCAGAGCTCCTTTCCTTTATAAGTTGTTGTTGTTGTTAAGTGCCATCGAGTCGGTTCCGACCCATAGCGACCCTGTACAGGGTTTCCGAGGGTGTAAATCCTTACGGGAGTAGAAAGCCTCATCTTTCTCCCGCGGAGCGGCTGGTAGTTTCGAACCGCTGACCTTAAGGTTCGCAGCCCGATTCGTAACCACTAAGCTACCAGAGCTCCTTTCCTTTATAAGTAGTGCCTTTTATTATTTATTTAAGAAATATTTGACTATCTAAAGTCATAAAAAGGAGTTCTAGTATAACACTGTAGGATAAGCACTGGACTACTAAACACAAAGTGAGAGTATCAAACTCACCAGCTCCTCTTCCGATATTCTATATATGGTCTCTATGAGTCAGAACCAACTAGACTGTATTTAATAACAATAAAAAATCATAAAGATAATAAACTATGGTATCTTTCATAAGATCTTCTATTGTCTTATTTTTTACATTTAGGACCACAGTCTACTTGGAATTTCCTTTTTTAAAATATCAGTAGGTATCAAAGTTTTCTTATTCCCACATGGATATTCAGTTGATCCAGCATCACTGATTAAAAAAAAACATTTTTTTTTTCGCATTACTAAAGTGTCACTGTTATGGTTTGAATTATGTGCCCTCAAAATATGTGTTGTGAATCTTAAACCTCTATATCTGTAATTATAATCCTATTTGGAAATGGGTTGCCTTTGTTATGTTAATGAGGCAGGATTCATGTCAGGTGTATCTTGCTTATGATCTGCTCTGGCAAAGTTCTTTCTTGCTCTGGCTCCTGATGACCTCCAGTACTGGGAACTTGAGTCAGCAGCCTATCATCTGACCTAATTTACCAGCTTCTACAGCCATGCAAGACAGCAGCCCGTTGTTGTCTAAACTGCTGCTTCATCAGCCCCTTTCAAGAGAAGCCTCAAGACTAACCCACAGATTTGGTGGCCTCCACAGCCGTGTGAGTTTGTTAGTTCTGTGAGATGTTGCAGTGAATGATAGAACTCAAATGTAGGAGGGGAGCAGGAGTTGAAGTTAGAGATGATGGAATTCAACATTTGGGACATCTTTAACCTCTTCATAGAAATCAGCTTTGTGCTGATTCTTCTAAAATAATTTATTCATACATCTCGCTACCAACAAAGAAGAGCCAGGAGAGGAGCGCATCCTTTAGACACTGAGATCCCTACCCACCGAACTGCTTCAACCCAAGGACAGAAAGTTGTAGCAGATGAGCAGCAGCAGCAGAAATAAGAGCATCAGACAAGAGCGGAGGGCTTCCCAGCCCATAAAGCAAGTAGCAGAGGCTTGCTTGCAGAGTGGAGTGCCTCCAGGCACTTAATTGGAGGAACTAGAGCCAAGTGCCTTCAGGCTGAGGCTTATGGTGGAGTGGTGTGTCCAGTCAAAAATTATCAACAGCCTAAGAGAGCTGTGTAGTATTAGCTGGGCAGAGAGAGGGCTGCCTGTGGGCATGGCTGAGAGGCTAGCCTGACTGGAACTGTGCCCTGAGCAGTTCTGACCCTGAATTATAACCTCTTATCTGGAGTCCTGGTGTGGCGCTGTGGGTTAGTGCGCCAGACTGCAAAGCCATTTGAACTGCAAGATCGGCGGTTCAAGTTCACCAGCTGCTCCTTGGAAACCCTATACAGGGTCCCTATGGGTCAGAATTGATTAGACGGCACTTGACAACAACAACAACATCTTCTTTAATAATCCCCATAATTGTAATGGCACTTCACAACAATTGTGACAGTTCCCTGTCCATGTACTGTGGTAACTGTTTTTGAACCGTCTTCAGCAAAATTTGACTTGCATGTGATATTAATGATACTGTTAGGATGGTTTCCACATTGTGTTGGGCCACGTCTCTTTGGAAAGGGCACTAATATGGATCTCTTCCAATCAGTTGGCCAGTAGCTGTCTTCCAGATTTCTTGACAGAGATGAGTGAAAACCTCCAGTGCTACACCCTGCAAAGAGACTGGAGGGGTCCAACTGCTGACTCTGTGGTATGCAGTCTATCACTTACCCTACTGAACTATCATGCTCTCCTGAAAGGGTTGTCGTTGTTCAGTGCCACTGAGTTGGTTCCAACTCATAGCAACCCTGTCTAGATAGATAGGATTTCTGAAGAGTGGCTGTTGAGTTTGAATCCCTGACCTTGAGGTTCAGTGCATTATCTTGCAGTGCCACACCACCCCTGAAAGGGTTAAGGCCTATTAAGGCCTATTATTATTATTATTATTATTATTCTCCTCCTCCTCCTTTCCCTCCTGCCCGCATCCTTTTCTTCAAGGGCAAAGCAGAAATTAGTTTTCCTTTTTTTTTTGCACATTGCCATTATCCATCCCTCTCAGAATTTTGCCCAAAGGTAGAATTAAGTCTTTCCTGATTTTTTTTTTTAATTCAAGAAAAGTGTGAGCTCTTTTCACTAGTAATGAAAGAAGCTAATAAAAATAAGAGTTATAGAGGTCCTCAAATTTTCACAATGTTTTGATCTCTGATCTATATGCAGATATTTTTATAAGGAAAAGTGCATGGTAGGCATCGCAAAGTAGAGGTGTTAGAAAGTCCGGGTTCTGGGCATGGGCCCAAGAGGCCTCCATGTCATTTATCTTTGTAAATTCACACCACTTGGGATCTGGCTCTTGTCTTTTTGTTGTTAAGTGCTATCAAGTTGGTTCTAACTTATAGTGATCCTGTAATAAGGTCTCCCAGGAGCGGCTGGTGGGGTTGAACCGCTGACCTTGTGGCTCAAACGGACCTTATGGTCCAGCACATTATCCTGCAGCACCACACGGGGACTCCGTGTTTTACAGGACCAGAAATGCTGAATCATATTCATCAGACAAAAGCATGAGTCAAAATATCAATGCACTAATTTACTAAGAAAAAGATAAAAAGGGAAATGGCTAGCCAATTCATTTAGCCAAGTCACTCCCTCCTTGCAGAAGAAAAAAAAAAAGATACAGAAAGGCTGCTACTTAATTGTTAAAAAAAGGTACAGACTATAAGATTTAGTTGTATAATTAAAAGATTTAATGGAATCAATCACATTAAATATTTTGATACAGGTATGAAACGGCTACAATAACCAGGTAGGTTCTGTCCCTGCCCGGGGAAACTTTCCCCTTTAGTGCCTATTGTTTTCTTCCTCTGTGTTTTTAAATTCCTGATTGAGACACTTCTGCCTTAAGTATATTATTACTCTCAGTAAAGTCTAGCTCTGGCTAGAGAGGCTTATAACAGAATTCTTACAGGAGAATCTTTATTTTCAAGGATTTGCAAAATAGCTCCATGTGGACCCAATATACTATTCTGCCTGCATCAGTCCTCACTTCTCAGGAGCTAAAATAGAAAAAGTAGCTCCCGTTGCAGGCCAGGCGTCCTCAAATCTAATGAAGGAGGAAATGCCTAACGCAATTCAGAAAAGCATTACAGAGCACATCGCCTTCCCAACCTAGAAACTGCCAGAATGCCCATTCCACCTCGATTGAGGGTTCTGCACCCTCTACCGCCCCTTTTTAAGGGGCTCTGGTAGCGTAGTGGTTATGAATCGGGCTGCGAACCTTAAAGTCAGCGGTTCGAAACTACCAGCCGCTCCGCGGGAGAAAAATAAGGCTTTCTACTCCCGTAAAGATTTACACCCTCGGAAACCCTGTACAGGGTCGCTATGGGTCGGAACCGACTCGACGGCACTTAACAACAACAACAACCGCCCCTTTTACCCTGGATCACAGGTCAGCGTGGGCTGGGCAAGGACCCCGTCGTAATTTTGTTTTCCCTCTTGACAGCATTCATTCGCAATTAAAATAGAAAGACAAGAAAGTAAATAAAACGTCATTAAAAGAAGGCAGACGAAAGAGTTGGATTTTGGGTTTGTTTTTTTTTTTTGAGACTCTTTCATCAAAACATTGCACAGGAAAATTTCCCCACCACCTCCACCTCTCTGGGTACCTAGGCCCCAGTTCAGAGTCAGATACAAGAATTCGCAGGGTCCAGATGATCACGACCAGAATCAGCTTCTCTCGTCGCTGGGGTTTTGGCATCGGGCCGCCCAACTAGACTTCCCGAGTCCACCGCGAGTAAACCAACAAGCCGCCTACATTGCCGAAGGAGCCCCGGAAACCCAACAGCCGGCCGTCTGCAACAGCTGAAGAGGACAACGCTCCAGCCGAGACCAACACGGGAGAAACAACCCGCAGTCCCGTCCGCCAAAACCGGGCCGCGCCCCTCGACCCTGAGGCTCGGTAGCACTGCCCTTTTCTCAGCCTGACCACGTTTCTTCCGCCCTGTGAGGGCAAAGAGTCCCGCTCCCTCGCGGTAGACTCCAGCCCGCTCCCCAGAGCGCCCCCTAGGAAGGAAGCTGGCGAGGCTGATGCGCCTCTGCGGCGATTTTATTAGTGCTCAGTCGGGGTTGCCTGGCTCGTCCGCGAGCGGGGCTTCCCCGCCCCTCCCCCTTTTCTCCTCCGCCCCCCCTTCCCGGCGGCCGGAACCTCCCTGCGGGGCGGAGTGATACCGGCGGCGGCGTAGAGCGCGGCGCGGCCGAGAGGGGCGCCCGGGCTGTGAGGGGCGGGCGGCGGGCGGAGGGAGGAGGGGAGAGAGGCGGGGCCGGGGCGGGTTGTTGTGAGGCGACTGCGCTACTGCCGGACCGGGGCGGTTATGGCGGCTCCATATTAACACCCTCCTCCTCCTCCGCCTTCTCCTCCTCCTCCTTTCCCTCCCGCCCGCATCCGTAAGCCATCTCCCCCTTCACCCTGACACCTACCTCTTTCCCTCACCTTTCCCCCTCCCCTTTTCTACCATGCCCGGCATGATGGAGAAAGGGCCTGAGTTACTGGGGAAGAACCGATCGGCCAACGGCAGTGCCAAGAGCCCGGCGGGCGGCGGTGGCAGCGGCGCCTCGTCCACCAACGGCGGGCTGCATTACTCAGAGCCGGAGAGCGGCTGCAGCAGCGACGACGAGCACGGTGGTAGCCTCGAACTCCTCCTCCCCGCCAGCCCGCCAGCCCCACTCCTTCTACCCCTCCCCCAGCTCCCTCCCCTCGCCGCGCTCCCGCCCTCCCTCCCCTTGGAGCCCGGGCGCTGCGGTAGCCTCGAACTCCCGGTGCAGTGCAGCGGTACCCCACCCCCCACCCCCCCGCGCCCCCCGTCCCTCCGCCCTCGACCAATCCTCCGCCCTCCGCCCCCCCTCGCTCCCCGCCCCCATTCGCTGCCATCTCCCGGAGCGCCCGGAGTTAATATCTTCCCATCCACCCTCTGCTGCTGCTTTCCTACCCCAGCCGATTTTATGTTTTATTAAGTGTCTCTTTTTCTTTTCTTTCTTTTTCTCCCCCTTGTCTTTCTTTCTTTTTCTTGTGGTTTTTTTTTTGTTTTGTTTTGTTTTGTTTGGGGTATTGCTTTGCAGATGTTGGGATGAGAGTCGGAGCCGAATACCAAGCTCGGATCCCTGAATTTGATCCAGGTAGATACATTTGCTCTAACAAAATTCTCTCTCTCCTTTCCTGGAATTGCTTTGAGGATGAAAAGGGGAGAGTGCGGGCGGGCTGCCGTGCGAGGTAGGGGTCTGGGTGTGGGGTTGGGAGTGGATGCGGGGCTGGGATGGGCAGGCATCTCTGGCGGCGAGGCTGTCAGGCTTGGCAAGGCTGTGACACAGGGCGTGTGGGCAGATGTGTGCATTGCAAGGTTAACATGGTTGCCTTCCGAGGCCACTTGCCCGCTGGTGGCGACGCCTTCCTACCCCCGGAGCCTAGAGAGAGGTCGGGGTGAGCTGAGGGAGACGGTACTTGGTTGATTCGGGGGCTCAGAGGCCGGGGGATGGAGCGGCTAGGAGGAGAGTTGTGAAGGATGTGTAGGAAAGAATCATGCAAATGTCATTTGCCACAAACCCGGCCCCCCGGAGCCCAGGGCCCTGCTCCTCAAGTGCCGCTGTCAACGGCCAAAGCCTAGGGTGAGCCCTTCCCGACCCGCTCGCAGACGGGATTTTCTTTTTTCTTTTTCGGCTAGGTGGTGTGGCTTGGGTCGCGGCATCTCTGCAGAGTGTAGGAGCCACGCAGAGAAAGGGGTGGGGGAAGGGGGAGGGGAAATGCCAGAGGCACACCTCGCTGGCAAGCCAGTCCTGGGGAGTCAGACCACAGGACAGTTGCTGCAGCTGCCAAGGAGACATTTTATCCCCGAGCAGCAAGGTTCCAACGTCCTCTGCCAACCCAGCTTGCGGGCTCCCTGTCTACTTTTCTCCAAACAGGCTCCCTGTCGGTCACGGGATTTCTGCCTGAACGGGGATTGGGCGAGAGTTCGGCATATGGAGGCGCCCTTGCTGGAGCCTCTGGGAGTGGAGCGCGCTTCCTTCTCCAAATCCCAACCCAGACCTCTTCAGTTAAGGCTGTGGATAGATTTTGGAAACGACTTTTGCTTTCTTCCTTTTTTAAAAAGACATTTGGTTAATTTTTTTGCCCAGTGCTCGCTTGTGTAACGTTGTCTGGGTCGGACTCTTGAATTCAGTATTTCAGTTACACCTAAAAGCTTATTTGCATTTTCTTTGGAGAAAATAGTTTGATTATAAGGCATATATAAATGGGTATTTTTGTATATTCTCTCTACATTAGAACACTGCAAAATAATATTTGCCAACCACTAAGAATTTAAATAGAATGGTTTGGGGACCCTAGGCTTCTCCTATCCTAAAGGAGGAGGGTAAAATTGTGTGTTCAGTGGATTATCAGGGCAGTCTGTCTTCCAGTAAGTAAAAACTAATACAGGAATTTAGGTTGTCTTCTAACTTACATGGATGTTAATGCATTTTCTTCCAAAGGCTACCAGCCTGTTAGTGGATTTCTCTTCAGATAATTTTAAGTGTTTTGTGAAACTAATTTTTTTTATTGATGTAGGTGAATGACAATTTCACATTACTGTGCTGCCTCAGGTTTTAGCATGACATTTGGAAAGAGCATGCTTTGAATTTACAATAGGTTGAATTTCATTCCTAACTCCCAACTCTTTTATTTTGTGCTGTGAACAAGTCACTTGCCTTCATTGAGTTTTCTTAGCCATGAAATGGAAATGAAATAAACTGCTTCATAGAATACCTGCCAGGATTAAATGAGAATAGCATACCAGACAAACGCCTGCAGTTATTAAAAATATGTGAAATTTCATAATGATAAAGAATAATTTTGGGTACATTTATATCTATCTGAATTGGGGCTTTCACTGGTGCATTGGTTATGAATCGGACTGCTAACCTCAAAGTCCACAGTTCGAAACTACCAGCTGTTCCACAAGAGAAAGATGAGGCTTTCTGCACTTGTAAAGATTTGCAACCTCGGAAACCCTGTACAGGGTCACTATGAGTCAGAACTGACTCCACGGTACTTAACAACAACAACTTGTATCTTTGAACTTTTTGCCCCGTTAGGGAGGTTTCTGAGTCAGTATTTATTAGGCAACTACAAAATTTGTATTCTTTCTGAACAAGTTTATTTGGGAGTATGTATTGTGTTTAAGTCCTGGTGTGGCTCTGTAGGTTAATGTTCCAGACTGCAAAGCCGTTTGAACTGCAAGGTTGGTGGTTCAAGCTCATCATCTGCTCCTCGGAAACCCTATACAGGGTCGCTATGGGTTGGAACCAACTGGATGGCACTTAAAAACAACAACAACATTGTATTTAAAGGAGTCCTGGTGTAGTGCTGTGTGATAAAGCACTGGATTAAAAGGTTGGTTTGAACAACGAGGTCAGTGGTTCAAACTCACCAGCTGCTCCTTGGAAACCCTATACAGTGTTGCTATGAGTTGGAACCTACTTGACAGCACTTAACAACAACAACAGTATTGTATTTAAGAGCCAGACTTCATGCTGGAACAAACTTGCATATACCAAGGGCTGATCACTATAAAACTGTAAAGCATTTTTGCTTCATGGTACAGGAAGCATTGAAATAGATTGCCCAATCTGAAGCATAAGGTGCAGAATACTCTTAAAGGTAGTTTTCACATGGCTGATGTTTGAGTTATCCAACTTATTGATCATACAGTGCTGTTTAAAACTTACATAGAATGTTTGTGGGAAAATCATTAAAATATTAATATTTTAAAATCATTTTCAAGTTATTCAGAAACTTTATAATTAATATTATTTATTAGAATGAGAGTATCACATGAAGTTCATCTATTTCTTTTCCCCCTTGATAATCTTCTCTAAAAGAATACTGAACCCAAAGACATAATTAAAACTGGTTTTACTGTTGAAACGTGTGTTCTTAAGTCTGTTCTGACTCATATCGATTCTGTGTAGGGTTTCTGGAGAGCAGCTGGTGGGTTTGAACTGCTGACTTGGTGGTTTGAACAGTTATCAGTCCAGTACTATAGGGCAACCTTGTTGATTATCGTACTTTTACAAGGGAATATTGAGCCTTTGTACCATTCAGTTAGTACTGTTAGTCTGTTTTATTGAGTTGTGCTATTGTGTGAAGTCGTTATTTCGTATCAATTCAATAGAATTAGGTGGAAATTTAAACATTACATCAATTAATATATTTCTTTTAGATAAAAGAAAAAAATTTATTAATTGATGATAGAAATTGAGAAATAGTCTTCTCCTTTACTCTTTTTCATACCATTATCTTAAATCTCATAAGGAACTCTGGTAGTGTCATGGTTATGAGTCAGGCTGCTAACCTTAAGTTAGCAGTTTGAAACTACCAGCAATTTCACAGGAGAAAGGTGAGGCTTTCTGCTCCCATAAAGATTTACAGCCTTGGAAACCCTATCCAAGCTCACTATGAGTTGGAACACCACCACTATCTTTAGTCTCATTGAACACTTAACGGAGATTTTGCATTGTTAGCCCTCCAAGTCATTTGGAAAAGTTCCTTAGGTCCTGAGATTATTATAAGCAAAACGTAGGAGAATTGAAAGCGGATTTTGTGTGTATAAGTTACTTTTACTAGAGGAGATGATAGTGCTGTGGATAGAAATTAAGCACAAAAAGAATGAATTGTTGAACTGACATTTAGAAAATCTGGGAAGAATTAAGATTTATGTAGGAGTTCCTGAGGTTAGGAGATCAGGACAATTTAATTAAGGGACCATTGCTAAATGATTTACTAGATTAATTATGAGATGCCTTTTTTCTCCTGATTCTTTCTTAGATCTTCTCAACTTTTTTCTAGTGCCAACTTAGTATTTTTCCTTTGGAGGAGCAGTTTTGTGTGGTGATTAAGAGTCTCACCCCTTATATGCTTTTAAACTAATAAACCATAGTGACCTTGGATAAACTCTCTGGCATCTCCAGTTTTCTAATTTGTAAAAGGGAGATAATATTAGCTATGTTATAAGATGAAGTGAAAATGATGTATTCAAAGCAGTGGTTGTCAGTGTTTTACTTCCATATCTATAGAAGAATTTTGAAAATTTCGTTTATATGTTTTCTAAGTTGACATCAATTTTTCACTGATGTGAAATGTAATCTCCAGTGTATTGAAAATAACACCTTGAAATAAAGCTGTTCTAGAAATACCTACAATTAAACACAAATGCTATATAGTTGTTAAGTGCTGTCGAGTCAATTCTGACTCATAGTGACCCTGTATAGGGTTTCCAAGAAATAGCTGGTGAGTTTGAACAGCTGACCTTGTGCTTATCCTATAAAACTACACCAGAACTCCATAAATAATATCTTTTATAAAATACTTAAGCAGGCTTTTAGCAGTCTGAAAGTTTCCATTGTTCCAGTTTGTCTTTGATACCAGCTATGTGTACTTTACTTACAGAATATTATTTTCTATAATATCTTTATTGTAATTGGAATGTAGAGTATGGATCACCTGTTTCCTACCACCATAATATATATTCTTGTGAGCATAAAGTTCTAAGTGCTAAGTGTCTGAGGCTTAAATTATTACCTTTATTCATATACAGTTGAGCCGTTCACTGTTGTAAGATTTGGGATGGTGAGAGATTTTCCTTTCTCCTAAAATGAGAACAGGGCCATTGTGAAGAGAGATGGAAACCTAGAAACCAGCAGATAGCCTAGAATGCAGGTGAGTTCTCAGGAAGGCTCAGGAAAGAGCACATTAGGGAAGTTAACAGATCTGACATTGTTCCCCTTAAAACCTATTCAGAGTCACGTACCCTTGGACAGTGTGCCTCAGTTTGAATTTGGTAATATTAAGTATGTTGCTCATGACCTGGAATATAAATTGTTGTTAAGTGCTATCTAGTCAATTCCAGCTCACAGCAGCACTGTGTGTAGGTTTTTGAGGAGTGTGTGGTGACTTTGAATCACTGACCAGTTTTTATCTAACAGCACCACACCAGAAATATAAATAGTAAAATAATAATAATCTCAAAATTTAAGTGTTTATATGCCATCAGAGTACTTATTTTGAACCTCATTAAAAGAAATCTAAAAAGTAATAAAGATTTTTATTTTTCTTAGTTTTTCCTAGTGGTCTCAGAAATGTACTTTGTCATCTCCTGTTAGTAGATCTAAAGGATTTAAAAGGAGTTAAACTTCTAAGGGCTTTACCTAAGGATTAAAATTTTTTTTTAAATTCTTGAACAATTTTATTTTCAGAAGTGACATAGTGCTATAGTCTTAAAATTGTTAGAGTTTGGTGTATAGGTTTTGGTTTGTTTTTCGATCCATTCAGAAGATAGTTTACTTCTAAGGCTAACTTGATGTTACTGAGTCAAATATCAAACCGTCTTGATTGTTAACCTGTAAATATTGTAACAGGTAAAAATAAATATTGGCATATGTCCTTTAAATATTTTAGTTCATGTCTGCTTTTATGTGCCTACTTGAAACCCTGTATAAGATTTCTGAGGAGCAGCTGGTGTGTCTGAACCCCTGACTTTATGATTATCAGTCCACTTCTTATTTTCAAATCTATTCCAACTCATGGTGACCCTGTATAGGGTTTCTGAATCTGTAAATCGTTGTGGGAGCAGAAAACCACCGTTCTCCTTGGGAGTAGCAGGTGGGCTTGAACCTGCTGACCCTATGGTTTACAGTCCAGTGCTTGTGTAACCTACAGAGCTTTGTTAGTGCCATTAAGTCAGTTCCGACTTACAGCAACCCAGTATAAGGTTTCCGAGGAGCAACTGTTGAGTTTGAACAACCCGTCTTGTGGTTCACAGTCCAGTGCTTACTTTCCCACTAGGACCCTACAGAGCTACTTGTTAAATGTCTAATTGGGGGTTGAACATTAAATTTTTTTTTTTTTAGTTGATTGATAGGTGAGAAACCCCTTCCCAAGGTAAAGGAAGAAGGGAAGTTAAAAACTGTAAAAAGTGTGTAATAGTAATAGTTACGTTTTATATAATATTTACCATATGCCAGGTGCTTTGCATATTAATTCATATAATACTTAGAGCAACTCTGAAATCGTGATGGTGTGCCGGGGAGTCGGTTGTGACTCATAGCGATCCTGCCTAGGGTTTCTGAGGCTGTAAATCTTTATGGAGCAGAAAGCCTTATCTTTCTCTTGTGCAACAGCTGGTAGTTTCGAACTGGTGACATTGAGGTTAGCAGCCTGACTCAACCACTACACTACCCTTGATAGGGATTTGTTATTTCTGTACTTACTGATGAGGGAAAAGGTACAGACAGATTGAGTAGATTTGCCCAAAGTGAAGCAGCGAGTAAGTGGCCGAGCTGAGCTTTTACAGTCCACACACAATTACATTGACATCTCTCATTTCCTGTGGACATCACTTGGTTAGCACTTGTACAATTGATAATGAAGTCCACTTCAGGGTTAGAAAATGCCTAAATGGGCATTGTACTACCAGATAAAGAAGCTTGGTAACATAATGGATTATGAGTTGAACTGATAACCGAAAGGTCAGCTGCTTGAATCTACCATTAACTCTGCAGGAGAAAGACGAGGCTTTCTGCTCCCATAAATATCTACAGCCTCGGACACCCTATACCAGGTCACTATAAGTCGGAACTAACTTCATGACACCTAACAACAACTATCAGATACAACCTCCCCCCCCCCCC